CTTCACAGGTTATAAGGGAGACGACTTCATGTTGTATGTTGGGCTGTGATAGTAAAACCACACATGTTTGCCCTAATATGCCAGCCGACCTCAAGCAGGGAAGCTCTCATAGTGTCATCAGTAATGTCTTCAATGATGGCTTCAATGTTGGTGTTTTTCATTCCAGTGAGGTGCTGGTAGAGCGTCTCTGACAGGAAGCGGGGGCCTGGACCACAATGAACTATAGAAGTTGCAATCATCCTCCCAGCATGAAAGTATTCGTCATCTTTTGCAGCTGTTGATATTTGTTGTCAAATTATTATCACGTTAACCAACAGTTGCCACGTTATCATAAAGATATACAGTATAAGATAATTTAATTGTCACGTAAATCTAGCTGCAAAATCCATAAGCAGCTCCTATATTTACAGCACAGTATTGAACACAAGACAGATTTGCGAACATCATTACCTGCATTGTCGAACGTGAGGAATTTCCTGTCCTGTGGACCATCAAATATTCTTCTCATTCTCAGGCATTCCATTAAGAGGGTCAGGAACTCCCGCTTGGGACCACCAGTGTCCACTCCATCCTCAGTTTGTCCCTCATCGTCAGTAAACTTAACCTGCATCTGATGAGAGGGGTCCAATGAGGCCCGTTTGAAGCCGTGGATTGCTCCATCCCACACATTGGATCGGTTAATATTAAACCTGCTGCAAGAGGTGTTTTTAATTTTTGCAGAGAGTTCTGCAACAACGTCTGGCGCAGTCAGGTATTCTGTGCTGGGAAAGACAAAGTGATGTATTGTAATATTACATGATGAAGCTAGTAATAGGATTTACAGTAAATTCACTTTAATTAAGAATAAATGCCACGATAGATCCAAACTGACCACGGTGTCAGCAAGACTGTCTCCAGATGGCAACTTTACAACAACCACACTGTCCTCGTCACTTGAAGAGGTTGTTCCAGTGTAACCTAAGAAAATAAAAGTGTCATGATTAATACTATAAAAATAATTGTTCCCCTACGTCTGTACCTATCATCAAATGTTGGTTTGAATCCTGAATTATTGGATTGACATCAATCAGAAACACAAAATGTTTGTGAAATGTACATTATATTGTTGACCGTCCTTTTCACTCTCACATTAGGATTTATATTTGTATAATAACAGAATTCGAACTTTTAAACCAAGTTTTCTATAAATACTTATTGTTTGGTAATAAAATGAACAACCTATTTACCTGCACTGGTGCTAGGCTGTGCACTTAGATGCGCACTAGTGGTGGGCATCTCCTCAGGGACTTTGTTAGCCACATCTTTTAGAAATGCGAAGATGTCACGCTGGAACCACAGAATGGACAGTACATCTGTGGAGAAATAAAATGTAGGACAGCTAGGTTAAGTCAAAAAGAGTGGATATTTTTCGGCTACCTAAATATTATAATAGTATTAAAGAACAGTCTTTCAATTAACTCATCAGAAGCCAACCTCCTGTCTATCCAGACTGTATATATAAAGGTCTATCCCCACACAAACCAAGCACCGAACCTGGGGGACAGAGCTTTCTCCATCTCTGCCCCCTCCCTCTGGAACTCACTCCCATTAAACATCAGAGACTGCACCGACCCCCCCACCTTCAAAACACACCTCTTCAGACTGTCTTTTCATGTGGGAATAATGTTGTGTTGCTGTTTTAATATTTTAATTCAACTTTTTACATTTTATTTTATTTCCTTTTTATCACCGCATCGCATTTGCGGCTCAGTTGAGGCCCCCTCCACGAGGTGAGGGCGTGAGACCCCACCCAGTCTGTGTGATCTGCGTGTAGGGAGGGGCGTCCCGGTTCTGTACTATATCTATATGTCAAGAGTTACATTTAGGTGCACAATGGCTCTTTCAAGCTCTTTGATCAAACATGCTAATGCTAGCTACGTAAATATGACGCTCTATGTATAAAAACAAAACTTACCTTCTTATATCTTTCTCCACTTAAATGAACTTTTTTTGACTTTGCATATCATTTCTGTAAATGCAGCGTTTTTGCTGATGTGTGTGTTTTTGGCCGTTGTTTAGTGTTTGCACCTGCCGGCCACCGTACCTTAGTGATACAGGAAGACATATTTATAACATTCAAAGGTATGTGGGGGATGGAACGAAGGTGGGGTTTAAAAGAAGGGAGGAACATGTCATTTCTCGGATGAGAATAGGTCATACAGGTCTCAATCATACTTTAAGTATAATACAGGTCTCAATCATACTTTAAGTATAATACAGGTCTCAATCATACTTTAAGTATAATACAGGTCTCAATCATACTTTAAGTATAATAGGAAAGCATCCAACCGGAAAGTGTATACACTGCAGCCAGCCAGAAACTGTTGAGCATGTTTTACTGCTTTGCAGGAAATATAGTACTCAGATAAATGTGCTTTTCCAGACACTGAAGAAAGCAAAATGCCATGACTTGTCGCTATCAGGGCTGTTAGGGAAAACATCAGGCAATATATATTGTGAGATTATTACATTTCTAAGAGAAATTGATCAATTTAAAATAATCTAGAGTTTTGGTTCTTTGTTTTGTTTCTTTTGTTTCTTGATTTATGGATAAGAGGCTTCTCAATACTCAAATTTCCCCTCTTCGACTCCTCGGTCCTCGGTCCTCCGGTAGTGACACGGAAATGAATTTCAGCGTGCCATTTTGAAGGACGTCTCATTTCTCTAAATGCACACCGAGGACCGAGCATCGAGCGTCGAGGAGGCTCTGGAGGAGCTATAACCGAGGATACACTGATGGTTCCTCCACGGCTCCTCCGCGGATGCATTTCCGGGAACGGTGGAGGCGTGACGCACGGCCGGACTTATCTCAGCCAATGACAGCTCTGCATGCATCCTCTGGATATTATTTTAGAAACTGCTTTCATCGCGTTACGATGTTTACAGTGAGAACAGCTGTGAGGTCCGTGCAGAAAGCAGAGCAGTGTACAATATCACTCAGTATAACAGGCCTACATTACTCTCTTTATTTGCTGTAGTACAAAGAGTCGATATTTTTCTAAGACCATTTAGTGCTTCACATAATAAAATACACAACGGCTGTAGCCTGATTATGCTTTAGGAGCTGTAAGTGTGTGTGGTAGGCATTGTGTATGTGTGTGTGTGGTACAGTATGTAGGTGTGTGTTGTACAGTGCGTAGATGCGGCGGACAGACGGGTCTCAGTTGGTTTGGTGTCCTCTGCTTACTTTTAATTTAATTTAATTTCAAATCTTTATTTATACAGATAAATCCCATTGAGATCATTGATCTCTTTTTCAAGGCAGACCTGCTCAAGTAGTTCCACATGAAACATAACAACATAAATAGAACAACAAAAGGATATCATACAGCATCATTTACATAACTATCCACATAAACAGGTACCTATAGCTTCCGATTGACTAGCATCCAACCGAGCTTTAAAAACATTTAGTGGCACCAGATTGCTCAGTTTCCATTTAATTTACAGACTATTCCAAGACAGAGGAACTGCGCATCTAAAAGCTGTCTTCCCTAAGACAGTCCTAGCAGTTGGAACATTTAATAAAACCACAGCATGCGATCTCAGGCAGTAGCCACTTACAATTCTCAGTGAGATCAGGGAGCAGATATAAGATGGAAGTTTCCCTAACATACCTTAGGGATATACGCGTCCCCCGTAGCGACATTAACTACCAGTCGCGGTAAGCCAAATGTACAGAATGGATAAAATGGATAAAATGTACCCGGGAATAGTGCCTCATAATGCAGGTAGACTCCCCTGATAACTACCCTTGCATTCATCCACAGGCTAAATAAGTATAAGTTAACTTTTGGAAGAACCAGAGAAAGGGGTTAAAATGGATAAAATGTATCCCAAAATAGTGCATCATAATGCAGGTAGACTCCCCTGATAACTACCCTTGCATTCCTCCACAGGCTAAATAAGTATAAGTTAACTTTTGGAAGAACCAGAGAAAGGGGTTAAAATGGATAAAATGTATCCCAAAATAGTGCCTCATAATGCAGGTTTCCCACTCCCTTCATCAGCTAAATAAGTATAAGTTAACTTTTGGAAGAACCAGAGAAAAGGGTTTAAAATGGATAAAATGTATCCCAAAATAGTGCCTCATAATGCAGGTAGAATCCCCTGATAACTCCCCCCTTGCATTCATCCACAGGCTAAATAAGTATAAGTTAACTTTTGGAAGAACCAGAGAAAAGGGGTTAAAATGGATAAAATGTATCCAAAATAGTGCCTCATAATAGATTTGACATGTGCAAACAGGCTATCTCAGACTTCCATGACATACACCACCGGGAAAACCACCTCACTTGGCCGCTCACAGAGACCCCAAAAACACGGGACTACAGACCTCCAGCATATCTACTGACATGCGTACTTCCATAACCTCGCGCACCTTGGGACCCCCGGGCCCCCCGAACTTAAGCACTCCCCCACGGACTAAACCCAGATGATTACACCCTCAAGAAACTCGTGCCCCTGGTAACCTATAAGGGGGTCTATTTTGCGGTGCTTTACAGTCCGCCCATCAGACACCATAGTCGGACTTATTCACAGCAGCACCCACCCTCCTATGGATGATGTTCTCATGGCCCTGGTAACCTATCAGGGGTCTATTTTGCGGTGCTTTACAGTCCGCCCATCGGACACCATAGTCGGACTTATTCACAGCAGCACCCACCCTCCTATGGATGATGTTCTCATGGCCCTGGTAACCTATCAGGGGTCTGTTTTGCGGTGCTTTACAGTCCGCCCATCGGACACCATAGTCGGACTTATTCACAGCAGCACCACCTGCCCTGCTGGAGGTTCACACTTTAACTTATTTTACCCTCCGCTGCCTTACACATCCTCCCACATTTGAGCACTCCTCACGTGGACTAAACCCCTTCATGCACACCACCAGAACCTCGTGCCCCTGGGGACCTTAATGGGGAATCACCCATATTGGGTTATAAAAAAGAGGACAAATTAAGTAATTTTAACAAACTTTATTTACAGAAATATATACATTGACACTTTATAACATTATAACATTGTTAACTCATCCAGCACAAGCGGACTGAGTACAACAAAACATTGCATATTTACAAGTTGATCACTGGCAACATTGTCCGTATCGGGTGAAGTTGGTGCAGAGGCTGGCACCCTATCTTCACCCGTGTCTGAGGGACTGTGTTCGGCCATTGACTGTTCCCTCTTCACCGCTCTCCAGGCGTTGAAGTCTTTGTATAATTCATCTGACGTCTCGGTATCGGTGGAGTCTTGGTAGGGAGTAGGGCTATGCTCATCTCCAGAGCTGTCACGGTCACTGTGGATGTCAATGTCCCCCAAATTGTCTTCACTCACCCCTAATGCTGCTGCGGCCGCTGCTTGCAGTGACTCTGTGAAGAGCATTCGTATGTCCGCAGCCTCCTTCAAAGAAGGATTCTTGGCATAAAATTTGTCTGCAGTTGCAGTGTTGTGACACATGAAATCACTCACTCTTTGGCGGTTGCTTTTGTCCTGAAACCTCTTCGCATTATCTACGTGGACTGTGCGGAGGTCGGTGAAGTTAATGGGACCTTTTAGTCCAACATCAGCCCATGCTAACCTCAGGAAGGTGGCAAGGTTCCTCGATGGGTTCTTCCCCGCTATGCAGAGGAAGTAGCGGTTGTTGGTGCCGGTCAGCGTCCCCTTGATTTCCAGCCACCTTTTCATCCATCCAAATTCTTCTATGGTGAGGTACATCTGCGCTTCCCCGAACGCGTTGGCCGTCTTGTGGTTGCTTACCTGTTATAACAGAGTTAGAGAGCGTCAATACAAGTACTCACTGCAAAAATCATCCATCTTATAACAAGAAAAAAAATATGTGATTTGAGTTTATACAGACTTGAAACAAGTGTAATAATCTGCCAGTGCAGTGAGATAATTAGACTTATTAAGAATTCTTAAAATAAGAATAATAATTCTTGAAATAAGAATAATAATTCTTGAAATAAGAATTCTTAAAATAAGAATAATAATTCTTGAAATAAGAATAATAATTCTTGAAATAAGAATTCTTAAAATAAGAATAATAATTCTTGAAATAAGAATTCTTAAAATAAGAATAATAATTCTGGAAATAAGAAATATATGGATGCTAGAAAAGTGGCAAATGTCCTGAAGTAAGCAGAAAAACACTTATTCCATCCACAGGTATAAGCCAAATATACTCAAAACAAGTTGTCAAATTTTCTTTTACCATTTGTTTATTTCTGAATTCAAGTAGACAGATCTCAAAACAAGAACCTAGCATGCATTTTACAAAACGTATGAATTAATCATGACGATAATTTTAAACTTAAATTATAACATTGAAAACCACTCAACATTGCTTTGTGTTAGATAACCAAAAATGAAGAATTATAACTTAAGAGCTTCAATATTATTGTTTTCTCTTATTGTTGAACAAAAATTCTCAAACACTGAATGATAGAAAGTCATGTCTCTTGTGTCCAAAGTATCAATGCAAAAACAGATACTGGTACCAGTATCAATTGTTAACAATAACTAGCCCAACTACCACCTAGCTCACCCACATTGTATATGTCTAAGCGAGCATGAGTTGTGCCCAGCAAATGGGCACGACTCAATATATAGACCTAAAAATGACTGGCTTTTTAATTACATTACAAAGAGCAAAGTTGCAATTTTCAGCTGATCATTTGTAAAGTGCAATGATCAAATTTGTATTGCTAGTTGCACCTTAAAAACAAAAGGTGGAAAACCTGCTGGCTGAATGTGGGCAATGCCCACAGAGAGGTGGCTATGGCAAGTGACCCTTACTTTGAAGGTGCAGCTACCTGCAGTTTGAGGAAAGGAGGGCTGGAAGGAAATGATGGGCTGACTATTGCATTTTTGTTTTTGTACATGAGTTGTTTTCTGGGATGTTATTCTCTCCCATAGACATTGCGGGTGAGCATTGTAGAAACAGGTTGGGAACCTAACTACCACCAAGATCTACTCCCCAATAAAAGCTTTCCACTCAGCCATGGCTTTTTTGTATGAGGCTGTGGCGTCTCGGTCATGGATAGTATCCTTCAATATTTCTGTTTGAATAACAGAAAGGATGGTTGCAACACACTTCGGATAAGTGAGATGTATTGTGTAGTAATAGGCCATTAGATATAGCAAACCCTCATGCAGGTCTTGCTTGGCAAATGTAGTGATGGGAGTGGTTCCTATGGCGACAAGGCAGTTGGAGTCATCAACAAGTAAGATGGGGCTGGACAGAGATCTCTTCTGGAGGTAGACGGTGGGATCTTCTGTAGGCTAAAGGAGATAGCAAAACTCTGATAAACATCCATAACATAGAACTACTAAAGCAGACCCTCAACTACCATTATGTATATATTGCATCTATGATTGAAGTTATAATGCTTTGCATGTAGTATGTGAATCCAAAGACAGCACCATTTGATGTACTAATGAAAATACAAAAACATGTCTTCCAATAAAATAATGAAAACAAATTGCTTAACCTCCTGCTGAAAGCTGGCTTACATGACCAGCAGTAAAACAGCTCTGCACTGATGTGCCGATTTCTTCCAATGGAGGGAACGGTGCCAACAAGCTCCAAATTGCCACAGTGCTTACGCTTAAAGTTAAATTATTTCAACTTTACTATCAATTGCCGCTGAGAGAATGTCCTTTCATGACAAGGCAGCTTAAAAAACAGCAACATATCTTATTAAATGTTGTCCTAATTGTGAAAAGCGACCCCATTATAGACTTACAAAAAGGATAAAGCATGGAAGTAAATGGCTTTATAGACACAAGTAAAAAAAACATCAAGATTTGAATGTGACACAATAGCTCACCTGAAGAACATGTATCAATGCCTCACTGGCATGTCCCAATTTCTTAGGCGGTGCAGCTGGTGAAGGAAAGAGTGTAGGGAGTGCCTTGAACAAGGCAATCGAGAATTCCACTATGAGAAGAGAGAAGAGAAAGCGAACAGGTGGATGGAAAGACAGACACTGTATTAACTGTTTTAGCTCACACAATCTGTATTAACATAACTACAGTTTAGACACATGAAACAAAGGATAATGCATATAAATATATAACTGACTTAAGGTCAAAGTTATTCAAGTTTAGGAGACATGCACTGTGAGGTTAATTTTAGGGTGCATCAGGTGACATGCTCCCTGGAGGTAGCCGATGTCTGTTGTTTAGTTGGTTGGTGTTGTGACTTAGTAAGCTACTGCTGCAGAGGTTGCATCAGACGCCATTAATGACGCACAGATTTGAAGTCCGTCCGTCATTCCGCCAATAACTGTTTCAGGAATTGCGATGTCATCTGGGCCAACCCAGTTGGATTTCTCCTAATTCCTTAGTGAAAAGTTGATCTCAGCAAGTTTGTGAATAGGTTTTAAAATACAACTTTTAGCTAGGAACTTAAAGTGTGATAGAGGGATCCTACTTTTGGTAAGATAACAAAATAGTGTGAAAATGCCCCCAGAGCATTATTATTTTAGATTTATTTGGTCAGCCTTGCATCAATGACACACTCCTATTCAGTCATATCTTCACCAACACATTGTAGACACTAAGAGGTGACTTACCACGATCCAGGGTCATAGGTGGTTTCATCGCTTTCTTCAAAACTCCGTAAAACTGCACTTTAGCAACAAAGTCGTCCCATCTCTTCTTTACTTGTGCTATGTATTTGTGGTTGTCTTTATCCAGGATGCGACGCAGCTCAGACATCACCTACAGAGTGAATAAGTATTAAAATCTGGAACTTTTGTTGAAAAGTAAAAATGGGAAGTCGTTCTGAAGATCCTTGAAGCATGGATAGGCATCCAGGACCTTTGTGTGCCTGTCCTCCACTTTCAGGACATCACTGTCAATGAACAGTCTTCTTGCTTCAAACTCGAGATCAAGGAGTTGAGAGACAGCATCTTTGTTTTGTTTTTTATTCTTGTACATCTCATGCAGAGTCTTAAAATGCCTGGCCTGTGCTTGCAGACTATCCTTGTCCACTAAAATGAAAAATGAAAATGATTATGTGCACATAAGACTGTCAAAAATGGTCTCCCTTTAGAAGCAGCCCTCTTATGGCTGGGTGATGTCTTTAAAAATATTCAAACAACACACAAGTAGAAAAGTTTGGAAGACTCAGGACTTACCCTCTTCTTCCTCCCCGGGCTCTGGGTCCTCTGCTGGGTAAAGTGTACCGTGGAGGGCCTTTACCAGCTGCTTTTTGGCTCCCTGGTGTGAATTGGGAGAACGGATGACCATACTGGATCGCTGGTCCGCGGTGTAATTGGGCAGCCGGCGGCCCGAGCGGGCTACTGTGGAAGCTAATGAAGATATTTTAGATATTTATTTGTCCTTTCAAAAATGCATTTTGTGCCTTACCACAATTGTCAAACAATAAATCAGAAAACGACAATGACATGCTCACATAACTATATATAGCTGCCTTAAAGGTTAAAATGTTCTCTACAAAATGAATGACAGAAAATGACCATAATATCTCTGTCCATTACAAACAACTTTTATGCTGCACATGATGTTATGCATTCAGCAATGTGTGGATATGCCTTTCGAGTAGAGAACCATATAAATGGAAATTAAGTTGCAATTCTACTTACATGTACTTTCATTTTCATCAGAACTGTTAAGAGTCTGATCCAAAATAATTGTTGATCCACCTGCGTCACTTGAGTCAGCATCATAATCTTTTCCTGAGTCACTTGCTGACAAGTCAAGGCAACGCCTCTTCTTTGGACGGCCCCTCTCTTGTGCAGGCCCTTGCCTCTTTTGCGGAGACTTTACGTTTAGAAGCCTCTTTTTAAGTTTATTGTGAATGGTTGTCTGTGGCAAATAACAAAGAATAACTTTATAAGAATTACTTAGTTACTTAGTACTTCACAATCAACAAAGTGCAAGAAATAAACAGCCACACATTTTAATGACTTACATGTTTCACAGCTTCATCTTTGTCTTGTAACATGGGATAATACTCCACTACTTTCTTAGCCATGGCTGTGAGTTCAGGGTTGGAAGGGTAGTGAAGCTCTTCTCCTTGTGGACTTGCTCTCAGGATGGAAATCATGCTGGTGAGTGTGTTCCTCACTAGCCTGCAACTCAACTCCTTGGACATTACACATTCCCTCTCTCTGCCTGTGCGGGCCATCTCAAAGTAATGTCTACGAGCTTGTTCCAACTCACTGTCCGTGTAGATCACATACTCTGGTGGACTAGGTAGCTGTAGGGTCAACTTTGGGCGTTTTTTCTCCAAAGGAGTGGATGTTGGAGGGAGACTATGTTTTCTACAAGGTGGAGTTCCTGTTTCAGAAGGGCCATCTTTATCTTTTAAGATAGGATTCTCGTCCTACAACAGCAGATAATGTCAAACAGTCAAAGTCAAACAATGGCGAGAATCTGAAATAACATGTCTTGTGCAACTTTGTTTTTAGACCAAAGTAGGTAACCATTTACCTCTGGGCTGATGAAAGACCACACTCTTTTTCTCCTAAGAAAGTGTTCTGGCCCAGGAAAAAGGTCTCTCAAATCATCACGAGTGAGGGAGTGCATCAACACCTCATTGATGTTAGCAGCTATTAGGACAGTAGCATCATTACCAACATTTTACAATCCCAAATAATTATTTATCGTTTTGATTCAAACACACATGACATACCCTTAAAAATTGACACTGTAACATCATCCAGTGTATCCATTGTCCCATCTATAACCTGGTAGGAAGAAAAAATATTAATTAATTATCATAATTTGATTTCAAACAGCTTTACAAACATGTGATTGAATAGTACAGTTAATACAATCATTCCTTGTGGTTTAAGCTCTTAAATGCTTTTCATTTTATGTTTTTATCTGCTACAGAGGCTGACAAATAATGGTTTTAGTCAGTGTGTGAAATACCCGTCAATATTCGGGGGGTCCCATCTCCCGATTGTTGTGCAACACTGACATAGGAGGTTGCATTGGCTAAAGTTGTTTGGATGCACGTTGTTTTATATTACAGGGTTTCTCAACGGGGGCGTCAGCGCCCCGTGGGGGGCGTTCGTAGAACCTAGGGGGGCGCTGGGAACGAACACGGGGCGTCACAACTTCGCTTGTGTAGTGGTCATTATTTTGAACTTTTTAAACTTTCATGGTTTTCAAATATTTTCGGTGCAAAAATAGGATAACTGAAATAAAAAGCCTATCTTCATATGGGTTTCTTACACTTCTATCGTCTCATCTACTTTCTACTTTATGCTCAGTACCGTCATGATCGCTATAGTAACGCCGATAAACAAATCCACCTCATCTCAGTAGAGTGGTCCTTTCCGAAACTATTTCGCCCTCCCCTGACTTCCACTGGTTGGTTTGCGGGACATGCAAAGCAAGCGGTGGATGGGGCATTACACTAAGCAACATGAATCTCATTCATATTACATAGTAAGGCAACACAAGACGTGAATAAAGCTAACTCTGCTTAGCATGCTAATTGTAAACAATAGAACGTGCGCATTACATGTAGACCACTGCAAAGTCGCTCATTACGTCTGCGAACCGATAAACACTTACTTTCATAAGGTACGCACACCAACCGGCACATACGCATTTAACACTGATGTTACAGGCGCTTAACTTGTATAGTAACAAACTACTTTAATTACTATTTGGCCGCGAACTTAAACGTGCTACTCTCCAACTCAGAACGAAGGGACCCCGTATTTCGCACACTGGTTTTAGTGAATACTGACAAAACAGCTATCTTTCCCTTGCTGTATCTCAATTTGCATATTTCTGTACTAACATTTACTGTTTTGAGTGTATAAATGTGTTCCAATCTGAAGCATGAAATATTTGTGTGCACTATAGGCCTACCGGTAGTACCCGCATGGTTCATTATAACGGTCAAATAGTTCAGTGTGAAACGCTGAACACTTTCCACTCTTAGTTACCATTTTGACTGCGTAATAGAAGTTGTGGGACCGGTGAACACATCACGATACAAATAAAAGTTATACATGTCGTTTTTAATTCATTATTTAATAAACGTACCACTATACTGGTGTAGAAAAGAAATAACTGACAATTTTAGTGGATTCATTCAGCAGTCTGTAATGATTTGCTAACCCGAACGACAACGTTAGCATCGCCGCTAGCTAGCTAGCTAACAGCGCTAGCCCACTAGTAGCGCTAGCTAGCTAGCAAACAGACATAATATTCATTGTATTTTTAACCCAGCAATATTGGTAACGTGACAAATTAATGCGCTTTTATTATAATATGAATACACACCTTCTCTCCAATGTGTGACCTTCTTCTCTTCTCTTCTTCTGTGACCTTCTCTTCTTTCTAACCTCGTGAACTGGCTACTTGACAATGATACAGTAGTGGGTTGAACTCCTCCTTCGACAAATAATAATCTGGGTAAATAGGGATGATCAAATTAAGCATTTGAGGGAAAAAAGGTGACGATAGTGTTTGTAATTGCTAATACATATGCTTTTTGTATTTTTAATATCGCAGCACATACTAAAAAGGATATATCAGAGACCCTACCCCCCCATTGTTAATATGGTTTGACCCAACCAACGTGCAAAAGCCCGCCAGGAAGTATTGCAGAACTAGGAGATATTACAGTACTGGCGCGGGCTGTGGTTCAACTTTGCCTTTAGCAGATGTTTTGTCTGTCACATCAATCTGTCAGCTTCCATCTCCTCCTCAGTTCAGAAGGTTTTGAGGAACATGGCGTATTGGCGGTGTGTGATTTGCTTTGTTTTTTTTGCGTTAACATTGAAGTCTCTGCTGAGCCATATTAACAAGGCACATGGCCGCAGTCCAGATTTCCGTGTTGTATGTGGAATTAATGGATGTACCGAAGAATACAGAGTTTTCAACTCGTTCTACTACCACATCAGACGTAGACATGCTCTGTATTTTGAAAATGGAAGCCCGCCTTCTGGGTTGATGACAACTGCACCCGAACCATCTAGAGTTGGACTTGAAGATTTTGATATGCCCATTTTTTCTGGTTGTGCCACTGCGACACGAGGGATGCAAAGGACCAACAGTCAAGTCAGCACATGTGTCCCTTCACAGCAGGAGCAACAGCTTGAGGAATTCCCGATTCAACCTCCTGATCAGGTAAGATGCAGTGTTGGGTAAGCTACTTTGAAAATGTAGTGAGCTAAGCTACCAGTTACTCCAGCTCACAGATGAGCTCACAGATGAGCATACCAAACTGTTAAGATGATGACCTTACGTGTGTAAATATATTTTTTTCTTTGTGGGGGTCTGCCCCCAAAAAACAGTTTTAAGTCCTGAGAAAGTCAAATAAGACGGTGTGTAAAACTACACTGCCCAGCCAAAAAAAAGTAACCACTTTGATTTAACTCAAGGTCCAAGCGATTATATATATTATAATATTTTTATTTTGAAATTCAGTTCCTGACGGACGCCAAAAAAGCCCGAGATTATGGAATTAAACCAATAAATAAAAACAAGGATAATTGTGTGTTATTGGTGAGTAAATAACAGTGTGTTATTTTGAAAAGAATAACAAATTAGAAGGAAAAAAAGATTAAAAAAATACAGATTTCAGTATTCTGAGGCTCTGAGCCCCATTTATTTTCCTCACAGACGGAAACAAAAGTCCGAAATTATACGATTTAAAATAAAAGCAATAATTGTGGCTTGATATTGAGTAAGAACATGTTTTTATGAACCACACGGCTTCCGGTCTTCCAAGACCCGACCGGAGAAAAAGACGTGCTGCAGGCACGAAACACATTACCAGCAGAAATACATTGCTTTTAAAATCGTTCTGTGCAACACGAAAAAAAAGGGGGAAATCGTGTTGGTGAACACGAAATGCCATGAGACTGGGTTGTCTTATCACACTGCAGCTGCAGACTCGCACCAGTACTTGTTGCTGAGCAGCTGGTTCTCATAGCTGATGCACATTCAGAGTGCATGGGAGTTGGTTGCTTGTGAATAACCCCGTGAGAAATAACATTTGTACCTGTAAATACTTTCCACACACCTGAACACACAGAATATCACGTTAGCTAGGAATACACATCTGTACGCAGGTATTTAGTGTGTGTGTGTGTGTGTGTGTGTGTGTGTGTGTGTGTGTGTGTGTGTGTGTGTGTGTGTGTGTGTGTGTGTGTGTGTGTGTGTGTGTGTGTCCTGGCAGGCCAGTGGGGGAATCCCTTCATCTTGGCGAACACCAGGTCTCCCTGTTTGAACTGGTCCCTGTTTTTCCCTGGCATCGTGATAACTCTCACCTTAATGACAGAGAATCAGCAGAAAGAAAACAGAAATATATTGAGATGACTTAATAACCATCATGTAATCAAGGGGCGTCTGAAAGACACATTTACTCATTGATTATATATATGTAGATATACCAGTTTTAGTTTCACATGATGTGTAACTCTTCTCTCATCTTATTAAAAGTACATCTTTATATCTGGTATGTAATGAAGGAGTAGTATAAAGTGACATCAAATGAAAATACTTCAGCTAATACAACTACCTGCAATCTGTATTTGAGTAAATGAACTTTATTTACTTTCCAACCATGAAAAACTGTTTATTTTTGTACCGTTAACTGTTGACAGTTATCTGAAATGTATAAACCACATTAAAAGTTTAAACAGGTCGTTTATTTGAATGTATAAGCATCAAAAACCTATTTCATTCAGTGTTTAGAAAGGGTGAAGTGTAAACTGTGACATACACGGAGTAGTTTCTATGTAGAGTATCATATATGTTGCATTCATTTAGTAGCATCTATACATATATTACTGTTAATGCAAATGTGAGATATAATCCAGACAAAGAGTATTACAAGAACGATATGTATCTCTGATATGTAGCTAAGCGAAACGGTTCATTGTAAGGCTTTAACTGTTGCTGTTATCTGAAAGGTATAAACCACATTCAAAGAGAGAAGAGGTCGTTTCCTTCCATCAGAAACATTTAACCAGTTTCTAAGTATTGTTTGTTTCATTTCCAGCTCGTCCTGTCTTTGTTTACAAATACAGACTGCTAGCTCTGAAGCTAACCAGGGTTGCCAAATGTGGGCACTAAATGACTGCTATCGTGTCAGTAGCGGGACCTTAGCATATATATAGGATATACAATATATACAAATACACAAAATTGGACACAGACTATAAAGGGCACACAGTTTCATTCACTAATGAAAGTCAAACACATGTTTGTTTCCACTGTTTCATTGTGTGCATAGGCCTGTCGCGATAAGCAAATAGTTGACTTATCGCTCCAATACACACCTCAATGCTTTATATTGTAGTCTATCCATTTGTAAGTGATGTTTTTGCTGCTGCTCCATACGCTATACAACCATAGTCTGTTGTGGACCTCATCATTGATCTGTAAATGTCTATTAATGCTTGTTTGTCTGCGCCCCAGTTGCATCCAGCTACATACATTTAATACTTTTTAGCATTTTGTTTCCACTTGATTAATATGCATGTTCCATGTGTATTTGCTATCAAACCACAGTCCTAGGTATTTGAACTCATTCACCTTTGTCATTGGACGATCATATAGTGTTAGCTGTTGGCCATCAATCTTGCATTTGTTTGTAAATACCATGTAGCATGACTTGCTTTCTGACATTTTGAATCCCCAGTTATATGACCACCTCTCCACTTTTTTAATCGCTCTAGCTTCTCCATTACGTACGGGGCACGTCTTCCCCTCATCCACATAGCCCCATCATCTGCGTGTAGAGCCCATTGGATGCATGAGTCTAAGCATGTCAACATGTCATTAATCATGATGTTAAATAATATTGGACTGACTGCACTCCCTTGGGGAATACCATTTTCTATTTCTAAATAATTGGAAATATCTGCTCCAACCTTTCCTCTAAATGTCCTGTCTGTTCAAAAGGCCCTTACCCAATTGAACATTCTCCCTCCAATACCCATTCTCCTCAATGTGATCAGTAACCCCTCCCTCCACAGAGTCATACGCCTTTTCAATGTCAAAGTACACTATTGCCATTATCTCTTTCATTTTCAATGTTTTTCCCACGTCATTACTCACTCTTACTAATTCCACATCCAGAGCTGACCTATTATCCTGTCTCTTCTCCTTCACCTTTTCATTCTCTGCTAGTAACTGCTGTTTTTGCTGCCTATGGATATCACTGAGATGCTCCCCACTATGTATTGCTGCAAGTGTCCTTCCTAACATACCTGCCTTCTCTTTATCTGTCACTGCCAGCCTCTCCCCATCAACCAAAGCTGGCATTTTAATGGATTTCCTTTTCCCACTCATCTGCTTAAACATGGACCAGACATCACCTAATGTTACTCCTCTGCCAATGGTAGAACACCATTCTCTCCATGTTCTCTCTTGTGTGTGTATTTTACTGTCCTTCGAGCAGCTGCCCTTTTCCTTTGATACTCTATAACATTATTTTGTGTTATGTTTCTTTAATTCTCTAAATGCATGGTTTCGCTCTTTAGTAGCCCTGCTGCATTCCTCATTCCACCATGGCACCACTTTCTTCCTACCCTTGGTTGTTGTTTTTGGTATACTGTTCTCTGCTGCATTTAGTATATGTTGCGTTATGTGGCTTGTAATGACCTCTATGCTTCCCTCTGATGTTAGCAGGTGTACCGACTCCTCACACCATATCCTACATTTCCCCCAATCAGCTTTAGCAAAGCACCACCTGGTTATTACACCTCCTTCCTGCATATATACATTATTATTCAATTTAGGAAGCACTGGATAATGGTCACTTACTACAGTGGAGTTATTCAAAACAAACCATTCGCATGTATGCACCAAACAGTTTGACACTAATGTCAGATCCAGGCATGAGACTTTCCCCCTGTGAACATCTACTCTTGTGCCATGTCCATCATTAAGGCATACTAGTGTTCTTTCCTCCAGCATTTCTTCCACTATGTTTCCGTTACTGTCTGTATGGTTGCTGCCCCATAGACTGTTGTGTGCATTGAAATCACCACACCAAACTTCCTTTCTGTGTATATTCTGCTATTTCTTTAAATATATCAGTGGTTAGATTTGGACATGGGTTGTATACATTGATTTTCCTAATGTTATCTTGTTTTCTAGGGTTGCAGATGTCCACTATAATACAGTCTATACCATCAGGAGATTGCACCTCCCTATATGCCACACCATCTTTGAGAGATGACTGCAGGATCTCAGGTCTGCGATGTGGACAGTACACCGCAAATACATCACTACACAACCTGGGGTATTTGAAGATAAGGGAATGACATGTTTATAATATGCTGCAAAACACAACAAATATGCAGGGTTACGAGTCTGTTTCAACAAGTCCTCCAACTCATACGAACAATTATGCCGATTATTCAAGCGCTTAATACGTTCTGCTCCCGTTGAATGCAAACGTTACAGATGGTCGTTTATTCACAAATAACCCTCTCTGTAAAATCCTAAATTGTAGGATAGTTTGACATTAAAACGCTTTTTGATTAGATTTCTAGCGAGAAGTGTATATTGTACTTTTAGAATCCACGTCCAGTCGATATGTAGGATCTATAGTTCCATAGATATTAGGAAGATGATTTGAGGTATGCGGCAGCCTCCATGTAAAGTTACGGGTTGAAAACAGTATTTCCTGTCTCGACGTTTTCATAATAAAACCAATGATCAAATGAACATTTGATTTTCATATTTGATGTTGTAATTTATTGTCTTCTGTTTACATCGGTAGGAATGTGTTATTTATTATCTGCATGTGCAGCACTTTGGCTCGACGGAAAATCGTTTTTAAATATGCTATAGAAATAAAATTTGATTTGATTTGAACATTTAATATTCATTACTAAAGGTACAGCCGAATCATCACAGTGCACAAAACCTATTACCGCCGCAGATGGACCAGAAAAGGGAGCGTTTGAAAGAAAAAAGGGGCGGGTCCGCTCAGTGAAACGATAACAACGAAACATGGAGGAACAGAAGTCTGCGCTTAAATCGTGTGTGTGTGTGTGTGTGTGTAGAGGTGTGTGTGTGGTTAAAACACAGCAGCTGCCTCCTGGTGCTGCAGAGATTTCATGAAGTGAAGGAGGTGTTCCTTCCATAAAGCAGCTGTGGGCAGCAGA